CTAGGTATACAATTATGTCATCATATCATGTCATTATATCAGTGAATAGTGACAATTTGACTTTCTATTTTGCAATTTGGATGTCTTTTATTTCTTTCTCTAGTCTGATTACTCTGGCTAGGACTTCCAGTACAATATTGAATAGCATTGGTGAAAGTAGGCATCCTTTTCTTGTTCCAGTTCTCACAGGGAATGCTTTCCACTTTTCCCCATTTGCTGTAACATCAGCTGTGGGTTTTTCATAGATGGCTTTTATTGCCTTGAGTCATGTCCCTTCTATGCTGACTTTGCTGATGGTTTTCAAAATAAAGTGATGCTGGATTTTGTCAAATGCTTTTTCTGCATCCATTGAGATGATTACATAATTTTTGTTCTTAATTCTCTTATGTGATGTATTATATTTATTGACTTGTGTATGTTAAACCATCCCTGCATTTCTGGCATGAAACCCACTTGATCATGGTGTATTACCTTTTTGATATGTTGTTGGATTCAGTTAGCTAGTATTTTATTGAGGATTTTCACATCTATGTTCATCAGGGATATTGGTCTGTAGTTTTCTTTTTTTGTTATGTCCTTTTCTTGTTTTGGTATTAGGGTGATACTGACTTCGTAGAATGATTTAGGGAGGACTCCGTCTTTCTCTATCTTATGGAATAGTTTCAGTAAGATTGGTACCAATTCTTCTTTGAATGCCTGATAGAATGCAGTTGTGAATCCATCTGATCCTGGGCTTTGTTTTGTTGGCAAATTTTTAATTACCATTTCAATCTCACTACTTGTTATTTGTCTGTTCAGAGTTTCTATTTATTCCCAGTTTAACCTAGGAGTGTTGTATATTCCCAGGAATTTATCCATCTCTTCTAGATTTTCTAGTTTGTGTGCATAAAGGTGTTCATAGTAGCCTTGAATGATCTTTTGTGTTTCTATGGTATCAGTTGTAATATCTTCTGTTTCGTTTCTAATTGAGCTTATGTGGATCTTCTCTCTGTTCTTGGTTAATCTCACTAATGGTCTATCAATTTTGTTTATCTTTTCAAAGAACCATCTTTTTGTTTCATTTATCTTTTGTACCTTTTTTGTTTGTTTGTTTCAATTTCATTTAGTTCTGCTCTGACTTTTGCTATTTCTTATCTTCTGCTGGGTTTGGGTTTGGTTTGTTCTTGTTTCTCTAGTTCCTTGAAGTGTGATCTTAGGTTGTCTATTTGTGTTCTTTCACATTTTTGATGTAGGCATTTAATGCTATGAACTTTCCTCTTAGCATCGCTTTTGCTGTATCCAAGAGGTTTTAACATGTTCTGTCACTATTATCATTCAGTTCAAAGAATTTTTTAATTTCCATTTTTATTTCATTGTTGATCCAAAGATCATTCAGGAGCAGATTATTTAATTTCCACATATTTGTATAGCTTTGGGGGTTCCTTTTAGAGCTAATTTCCAATTTTATTCCACTGGAGCCTGAGAGAGTATTTGATATAATTTTGATTTTCTTAAATTTATTGAGATTTGTTTTGTGGCCGATCAAATGGTCTATCTTGGAGAATGTTCCATGTGCTGATGAAAAAAAAATGTATATTCTGAATTGTTAGGTAGAATGGTCTGTAAATACCAGTTAAGTACATTTATTCTAGGGTATAGTTTAAGTTCATTGCACTCCAGCATGGGTGAAAAGAGCAAAAATCCATCTCAAAAAAAAAGGACTCACTATTAAGATGGTCAATATCTCAAGCTCAGGCTTGGTCAGACCTATATCATGCTATCACAAGTACATGTTAAAGGGCTATGCAGATGAGGGATGCATTAAATTTTGACCATAGGAGGCCTCATTAACCAAATTATATTAAATTATTATGTTAAATTAGTAGGCCCCATTAACCAAATTATATTTAAATATTATATTAAAAATCCAGAGACATTTTTCTTTTTAAAAAGCTACACATCTAGTGTATGTGTTATGTGAACATAAAGATTATTCTGTTTAGCACAAGGTCGTACTTCTGTGTGCAGGTGTAGATGTTCCTAGGGTCAATTATTCAAGCGACCTTAGTTACATAGGAGAAATAGATTTTCTCTCTCTCTGGGCTTTTTGGAAGAATTCACATATACTTCTGTGGATACCCAAAAACTGAAGAAGAATATGGTTTTATCTTGTCACCTAGCTTATCTAGTTCACTGTCACTATACTTTTATTTTCCTGCGTTTATCTCCTATTTAGTAGAGACTTCCAGCCTTTCCAGCCTGGCCTCAGCTTGGCTACTGGGCATTAATCCCTGAGCCACTCATTTTTGTTTTTTCCTTCTTCTTTTTTTTTTTTTTCAGGGACAAGGTCTTGAACTCTCACTTATGCTTGAGCACAGTGGCACATTCATAGCTCACTGTAGCCTTGAACTCCCGGACTCAAGCGATCCTCCCACCTCAGCCTCCTGCAACTAGGACTACAGGTGCGAGCAACCATGCATGGCTAATCCCAGAGCCATTTGTCTCAGGGTGTTAGAGAGGGGGCTACTTGCTGCTCCTAGACCAGCTTCTCCCACCTCCAACAACTTCGGAGGGGTTGTTTTTAATTAGATTTAGGAAGGTAATCTACTCTCCATGAGATTTTCACAAGGAGAGGAAGGAGTTCCAAGAATCCTTTTTTCCTCTGACCCATCCGTCCTCAGTTCTGTACTCAATGGGTGGTGGGGATGAGGGAAAAGGACTGATGTTATAGCTCAAAGTTGTTGACTGCCTAGAAGCCTAGAAATGTGTTAGTAATGAATCTGGAGTAGGCCTGAGTACATGGAGTGTATGTGCACAGGTGTGTGGGGGTGTGTAAGGAGGTAGGGGTAGGAGGAGCATGGAACATAGTTCTGGGCAGTTGCATAAGTAGAAGGAAACCCTAGTTCTACCTTTTGATGATTTAGCATTTATTGAATGACACATACTTAGGGCAAAGTTTGAGAGAGTTTACACTCTCACGCGATGGCTGGATGAACTCTCAATCTTTGCCCTACATATGGTGACTTAGTTTTTCCAAGAGCAAATCTACGTCTCTACTCTGTCCATGGGAATTAGATTGTCCTCTGATCAGTCGCAAAATAAACTCGTTATCACTTTGTAAAAGAACGGTGTCTCCATTGCTATTTCTACCACCCACCCCTTGCCCCTGATTTGCAGCTGACCTTCATAAATGTATTTTCCAAACTCAACCAGGGTTGTAGTATTGGACTTCTCAGAGCCAAAAGACACTGTTGGAATCTGGATGGCACCTGTCAGAGTCAAATAGTGAGAGATGAAAGATTAAAAATGAATTAATCATTTTTTTCTACAATCTTCTGTGCATAAAAAGTTCTTTTGCATTTATTATCATATTGCAGAGGGCAAAACACTAATGTGAGGTAGGCGCTATTGTTTCCCCTAATTCGAAGATGAGGGGAAAAGCTTGAGTCCTGGAGTTCAAGAGCAGCCTGGGCAAAATAGTGAAACCCTATCTCTACAAAAATAATAATAATTTTAAAAAATAATAAATACATAAAAAGTCTCTTTTAAAAAATTTTTAAAGTTTCGTAGAGATTAAGCTACTTTTTACTAAAAATTCTGTCAATGTTCGTGTTTAAATTTCAACTCTATTTTTAACATTCTAAATCTTAAACTAGGTGGTGAATCCAGAAATGTTCATTATGCTATTCTTTATATCTTTATAATATGTGAAGTATTTAATGATACTGTTTTAAAGTTGCTATTAAAAAGTAACTAGGCAGGGCAAGGTGGCTGACGCCTGTAATCCCAGCACTTTGGGAGGCCCAGGCGGGCAGATCACCTGAGGTCGGGAGTCCGAGACCAGCCTGACCAACATGGAGAAACCCCATCTCTACTAAAAATACAAAATTAGCCAGGCGTGGTGGTGCATGCCTGTAATCCCAGCTACTTGGGAGGCTGAGGCCAGAGAATTGCTTGAAACTGGGAGGCGGAGGTTGCCGTGAGCCGAGATCGCCCCATTGCACTCCAACCTGGGCAACAGGAGAGAAAACTTCGTCTCAAAAAAAAAAAAGAAAAGAAAAAAGGAAAAGAAAAGAAAAGTAACTACATGGCTGAAGTTTTTTGTTTGTTTGTTTGTTTTAAGCAAATCTTAAATGAAATGCAAACGCCAGGAGTGTGAATTTGTAGCTTTGGTCACAGGTAGCAATATGACCTTACTGACTGTATAGCACTTACTGAATTTTTCTTGAGAATTCTAAAATTTGAGAGTGGTGCCAGATAAAATTGCATCAAGAAATCTGGAAGGAACAGTTTCCTCTGGCTTCAAGAAATCTAATTTTATATTTCTGTGACATAAGACAGGTTTTCTTTTTTCCAGAAAGATCCTCCACTCTGAATAACCATAAAATTTCACTTGGTCGAATACATCAAAATTCTTTATACATCAAAATTCTCTTAAATATTTTATAGTAATCTTTCTAAAAATCCTTCAGTCTTACTGTACCTGTTTAGAGTTGCAAAAATGTCGTGTTAACATTAATATTAAAAGCACTTTCAATAAAATTTCTAAACAGGAGCCAACCCTCTGAGCTGGTATTTCAAAGCAGTATCTACAAACAGAGCAATTTGTTCCAATTTTAGATGAAATCAGGCTGGGAACCTAGAGAGCTCCCCGCCAGAACCTAGGGAATGGTGGTCAGGTCCTAAGCTTCGGAAAAAGGGAGCAGCAGAGTATGGTCTGATAAGTTTCGTGCGTTTTATTTTGCTTTTCCTCCTTTATTTGATTTGTTGTCATACAGGAAGGGATTTATGGGTGAGAGATCAAGTGCAGACCAGACCTGACTCTAGCCTGGAGCCCGACCTCACCTGTGCTCTACTGTATCTGCTGGCCTCAGCATGAAAAACCGCAACCCACGAAAGGCCTTAAGGGTCCTGGGCGGGGTCATTCTGTCGATTGGGTGTTCCGCAGTCCTAGCGAATCGATGACTGGTCAGATCTGGAGATGGGGTGTGGCTAAGGCTGTTTGCCGGAATAAGAACAGAGCCAGGACCCAGAAACGCTAGTCGGGGCGTTTAGGTCAGAACTCCTCCGGCAGCCTGACAGCAGGAGCTCGAGAGAAGCATGGCTCAGCGGTGCCTTTGCGTGCTGGCCCTGGCGGCTATGCTGCTCCTAGTTTTCGCCACCGTCTCCAGATCGATGGGCCTGAGAAGCGACGAGCATCAGAGGGAGTCGCGAATCCCTGCTGAGTTCAGCAAAGAGGAGCGCGTCGCGATGAAAGAGGCGCTGAAAGGTGAACCCTGGTCCCCTTCACCCATCTATACTCAGATGTCGGTCCTTCCCTCCCCAGGTCAACCCGTGACTCCCCGCTTCCGCCGCAAAGCATCAGCTACTGCAGCCGGAGCCCCGACACGCACCCCAGCCCGGCCCCAGCACCCTTCCCAGCACATCGTGCCCGGCCTGGGGACGTCACACTTCCCCCATTCCTGCCTCCTGGAACTCTGGTGTGCCCTGCCTAACCTGGAAACTCCAACTTCACCCCTCTTGGCGTGACCACCGTCCACTCTTTCCCCTGCTTGCCTCGAGTATTACACGAACTTTCATTGGTACATCACTTTTAACCTTTGAAAGTTTGCATGCCTGATAAATTACTGCGGTGTCGTAAAATAAGACAAATGATATTAGTCTTATCTGCAAAGGAGAGAAATTGAGGCTTAGGTCAGCTAAATGATCTTCCCCAGGGCCCCACAGCAAAGAGTGGGCAGTGGGTCTCAGTATCTAGTGCCGGACTCGCTGGGATCAGATGGCTCTAAAGAAAGGGAGGGGAGTGTTCCTGGGGTGTGGGATGTTCCTAATTCTCAGTCCTAATTGAAGAATATGTCTCCCCTAGATCTATAATCCAGACCAAAAACTCATTCCCGTTCTGAATCTGCATTTGCCAGGAAACAGGAAAGTTTCTGTTCAGAGTGCTAGATCCTATGGGATGAAATCCTTCTTTACCATTCAGCTTAGCTCCAGTCTTTTCCCTTTCATTAAGTAATGGATTAAGAGAGACTGCCTGCATAAACATATAGAAGCAGATGCAGGGACCAAAAGCTAACCCCAATGGTTGGACGTAGATTGTTCATATGCTAGACTGACAGGCCTGGGAGGCAGCATTTTCCCAAAGCATAAATAGTCCTCTAAAAGGCATTAGACAGCCACTCCCAGTCTGCACAGAACAGATCGAAAGCTATGTAAGAACCTAGAATAGGGACCTTATAGCAACACAGCTTAGAACTCTGAGCAGGGGACAGAACACCTGAGCTCAGATCCTTGGGTCTGCCCTTGAGTAGGCACTTGAATCTTTCTGAACCTCGGCTTCCCCATCTATCTGGTGGGCTATGCTATTGTAGCGTTGATCCTTAGCAAAACTGATGAAGTTTGTCTTTCAGAGACCCTTCCTGCCTCAGGTGAATTTGTTCTCACTGTGTTCTTGGAGAGCAGTCTACTTCAATATTCTCATGACTCATGCTTTCCCTCCCAGTGGTGTTTGTCTTTGATCATGCAACTCTTTAAAACTGTAAAGCCTTAAAGACTCAAAGAGAGGAGCCCAGAGAAGTTTCAGGAATTGAGACAACTGAGTAAGGAGGATGAGATTATTTTAGGACTGAGGAGTTTGTTTGGGGGCTTCTAAATCCACCCCTTCCCGGGCATTATATGCCCAAAAAGCTGGTCTTGGTTGACAGACTAGTGAGACTCCACATTAGGAATAAGCCTTTACATACAAAAACAAAAACACACAAGCCTCATTGATGTAGGGACCCAGGACAGTGGGTGCCTTGAGAATGATGAAGCTTGGATTCATCAAAGGAAGTGGTGATTTCACAGGTAGTGAGGCCTTAGAAAGTAATTTATAGTAGCTTCCCTTCAAGACCAGGGTCCAAAAATCCACGTCCCCCCAATCTTAGACTGTATTTGCCTTTAAGAACCGTATCAGCCTAACAAACCCAGAAGACATGGGTTTAAATCTCTAGTCTGCCTATTGCTCACACAGCTCACCTAACCTCTCCAAGCTTTTTCCCTCATCTTTGAATTAGGGGAAACAATAGCGCCTACCTCACATTAGTGTTTTGCCCTCTGCAATATGATAATAAATGCAAAAGAACTTTTTATGCACAGAGGACTGTAGAAAAAAACAATGATTAATTCATTTTTAATCTTTCATCTCTCACTATTTGACTCTGACAGGTGCCATCCAGATTCCAACAGTGACTTTTAGCTATGAGAAGGCCAATACCACAGCCCTGGTTGAGTTTGGAAAATACATTTATAAAGGTCAGCTGCAAATCAGGGGCAAGGGGTGGGTGGTAGAAATAGCAATGGAGACACCGTTCTTTTACAAAGTGATAACGAGTTTATTTTGCGACTGATCAGAGGACAATCTAATTCCCATGGACAGAGTAGAGACTGTAGATTTGCTCTTGGAAAAACTAAGCCACCATATGTAGGGCAAAGATTGAGAGTTCATCCAGCCATCGCGTGAGAGTGTAAACTCTCTCAAACTTTGCCCTACGTATGTGTCATTCAATAAATGCTAAATCATCAAAAGGTAGAATTAACGTTTCCTTCTACTTATGCAACTGCCCAGAACTATGTTCCATGCTCCTCCCACCCCTACCTACCTCCTTACACACCCCCACACACCTGTGCACATACACTCCATGTACTCAGGCCTACTCCAGATTCATTACTAACACATTTCTAGGCTTCTAGGCAGTCAACAACTTTGAGCTATAACATCAGTCCTTTTCCCTCATCCCCACCACCCATTGAGTACAGAACTGTGGACGGATGGGTCAGAGGAAAAAAGGATTCTTGGAACTCCTCCCTCTCCTTGTGAAAATCTCATGGAGAGTAGTGAGATTACCTTCCTAAATCTAATTAAAAACAACCCCTCCGAAGTTGTTGGAGGTGGGAGAAGCTGGTCTAGGAGCAGCAAGTAGCCCCCTCTCTAACACCCTGAGACAAATGGCTCTGGGATTAGCCATGCATGGTCGCTCGCACCTGTAGTCCTAGTTACAGGAGGCTGAGGTGGGAGGATCGCTTGAGTCCGGGAGTTCAAGGCTACAGTGAGCTATGAATGTGCCACTGTGCTCAAGCATAAGTGAGAGTTCAAGACCTTGTCCCTGAAAAAAAAAAAAAAAAAAAAGAAGAAGGAAAAAACAAAAATGAGTGGCTCAGGGATTAATGCCCAGTAGCCAAGCTGAGGCCAGGCTGGAAAGGCTGGAAATCTCTACTAAATAGGAGATAAACGCAGGAAAATAAAAGTATAGTGACAGTGAACTAGATAAGCTAGGTGACAAGATAAAACCATATTCTTCTTCAGTTTTTGGGTATCCACAGAAGTATATGTGAATTCTTCCAAAAAGCCCAGAGAGAGAGAAAATCTATTTCTCCTATGTAGCTAAGGTCACTTGAATAATTGACCCTAGGAACATCTACACCTGCACACAGAAGTACGACCTTGTGCTAAACAGAGTAATCTTTATGTTCACATAACACATACACTAGATGTGTAGCTTTTTAAAAAGAAAAATGTCTCTGGATTTTTAATATAATATTTAAATATAATTTGGTTAATGGGGCCTACTAATTTAATATAATAATTTAATATAATTTGATTAATGAGGCCTCCTATGGTCAAAATTTAATGCATCCTTCATCTGCATAGCCCTTTAACATGTACTTGTGATAGCATGTTATGGGTCTGACCAAGCCTGAGCTTGAGATATTGACCATCTTAATAGTGAGTCTTTTTTTTTTGAGATGGAGTCTTGCTGTGTCGGCTAGGCTGGAGTACAGTGGTGTGATCTCAGCTCACTGCAACCTCCAGCTCCTGGATTCAAGCAGTTCTGCCTCAGCCTACCAAGTTGCTGGGATTACAAGCACGCGCCACCACGCCCGGCTGCTTTTTGTATTTTTACAAAAAACAGAGACAGAGTTTCACCATGTGGGCCAGGCTGGTTTCAAACTCCTGACCTCTAGTGATCCACCTGCCTCGGCCTCCCAAAGTGCTGGGATTATAGGCATGAGCCACCACGCCTGGCCGAGTCTCTTTTTTTTTTTGAGATGGAGTTTTGCTGTCATCACCCATGCTGGAGTGCAACGGCGCAACCTCAGCTCACTGCAAACTCCGCCTCCCAGGTTCAAGTGATTCTCCTGTCTCAGCCTCCTGGGTAGCTGGGATTACAGGCATGAGCCACCACACCTGGCTGATTTTTGTATTTTTAGTAGAGACGGAGTTTCGCCATGTTGGCCAGGCCAATCTCAAACTCCGGAACTCAGGTGATCCACCTGCCTCGGCCTCCCAAAGTGCTGGGATTATAGACGTGAGCCACTGCGCCTGGCCTTAATGGTGGGTCTTGATTTGCATGTTATTATATAGTAATAGCACATTGAAATATGGGGAAGACGAATTTCAAAGATTGTCCAGGTAGATCAGGAATCAGACTAGCTTTGTCCTAGAAGGCTTCCTAAAGAAGGATGCATGTTTAAAAAAACAAGTAAATAAAGGAACAGGAAGCACAACATGGTAGGAAAACCTAAGGAAACTGTTAACCCTGGTTCTCCCTGCCTGCCCTTTTTGCCTCTAGTCTTTCCTACAGTGCTCAGCACCAGCTTTATCCAGCATGAAGTTGTGGAAGAGTATAGCCACCTGTTCACTATCAAAGGCTCGGACCCCAGCTTGCAGCCCTACCTGCTGATGGCTCACTTTGATGTGGTGCCTGCCCCTGAGGAAGGCTGGGAAGTGCCCCCATTCTCTGGGTTGGAGCGTGAAGGCGCCATCTATGGTCGGGGCACACTGGACGACAAGAACTCTGTGATGGTCTGAGATGCAATGTTCCCTCTGACTTGGGGCCCTAAAGATCAATTCAGGATGGGGGTGCTTGACTGACCCTGGCAGGTGGACGATAATGGTAAAAAGAACCTTGGCTCCAGGAGACCTGGGTTCCAGCCATCAGTTTGTCACTTCCCTTCTCTGGGCCTTGATTTCTCAGCTGTAAATGGGATTAAATGATCCCCAGGGACCCTTTCAGTCCTGTCATTGATATGTTTATACTCTTCTCCAGGTGGTAAAGGTTATGTTTCTCCACATCAGGTCCCCTGTACTATTTGAATCTGTTCTCTTTCAAGAGAATCTATCAGATCCTTATCCCACCATCCTTGAAAACAGGCAACTGAGTGTCTCTGATACCCTGGTACACCCACCTAAATAACGTCTTTTTCCTCTTTCGTTGTGCTTCTGAACCCCAGGCATTACTGCAGGCCTTGGAGCTCCTGCTGATCAGGAAGTACATCCCCCGAAGATCTTTCTTCATTTCTCTGGGCCATGATGAGGAGGTAGAACCTCCTCATCTTATACCTATCTCTGTCCTCTGTTGAGGGTAGGGGAGTGGGCGCTTAACCCTAGTCCAGTTTGCCCACAGTGGCAAGGCCTCCATGATATGGTAGTTTACCACCTTCTCTGTGTGTCTATATGCCAGGACTATCTAAGGACCTTGACCAAAATTCAGATTCCTGGGCCCTGTGCCATAGATCTGAATTTTTAACAAACTCCTTCATAATATCTGAGGCAGGCAGCGGGTCCATCACCTATACCCTGAGAAACATAGGTGTGATGGAAAAAGAACTGAAAAGGGAGAGCGATAACTGCATTTTATTTGCAATGATGCTACTTAATTAGACCCTGGGCAAGTCACTTCACTCTTTTGGCTCCAGTTCCTTCATTTGTGAAATAAGGGAGGGTGGACCTTTCCAGCTCTGACATTCCAGGATTCTGTGAGACAGAATTCTCTAGGGCCCTGGCTCCCAGGAAGGAGACTAGGTAGAAAGGTTCTGGAGCCCCTAGCTAGGCTGAATGGGTCCCCATTAGCTATGTCTGGAGGTCTGTCTCTGACTGAGAAGGACTATAGCTCTGTGTTCCATGTCTGCAGTCGTCAGGGACAGGGGCTCAGAAGGTCTCAGCCCTGCTACAGTCAAGGGGCGTCCAGCTAGCCTTCGTTGTGGATGAGGGGGGCTTCATCTTGGATGATTTCATTCCCGACTTCAAGAAGCCCATCGCCTTGTGAGTAAAGCACCCCACTCCCCACCTTGGAAGGAAATCTCACCCCATTTGAGATGACCCCAGCCTGGTATCTGTGAGCCATGCTGAGACAACTCTTTGTTTACACCTCTCGCATTAATCGCCCCAATCTTTAACCTCTCCTAGGCTTCCCCCTCCATTCTTCCTCCAGTATAAAATTTTTAAAACTGCATGAAGCTACCTCCTTGCCCACTAGACTATTGCACAGATGGATCTATGGGCCTATGGGAGAATTCAGAGAGGCAAGAAGTCAGGAGGGTGGTTTCCGATCCTCTTCTACAGAATTGGTGTCTCAGAGAAGGGTTCCATGAACCTCTTGCTGCAAGTAAACATGTCTTCAGGCCACTCTTCAGCTCCTCCAAAGGAGACGAGCATTGGCATCCTTGCAGCTGCTGTCAGCCGGTAAGCAACTCCTGGCTCTGCTCCCATGCCAGACTTAAGATGGAAGACCTAGCACTTTCCCACTTTAAATTTGAGGAGGCTCAGCTTCCTGCCCTAAAGTTGGGCTGGGAAGCTATGCTTTAAAAAATCGACACTAGAGGAAGAACAGAAGGGGAAACCCAGGACAGACTAAAGATCCAGGCGATTAATACAAGAGGTGTAAACAAAGAGTTATTTCAGCATGGCTCACAGATACCAGACTGGGGTCATCTCAAATGGAGTGAGAATTCCTTCCAAGGTGGGGGTTGAGGGAGACACAGGAGAGACAGAGCCACCAGTATCCTGCAAGGGCTGGAGTCAGAAGAGGATCTATCAGTATATACATATGGAAAGCAAGGACCTACAGGCAGAAGCTGGGTCAGGCAACTAGAGTAGTCCAGAGTCCAGACATTTAGAATCACAAATTGGCAATGACTGGTAGAGCTGTCGAAATTCTCCACCTGTCCTGGCAGGAGGACAAAAAGAAATAAGAGCCACTGGCTATGAATGAGGACAGCAGAATCTGTAACAGCAGAGCTTACCCCTGGCTGGGTTTTCTTAGCAAAGTGGGAAGGAGTGCTATATTCATTCAGACTGTCAGGAGACTGACAATTCTGCTGTAGTATGGGATGGACTATGAGAGTGGACACACAAGATTCTAGAGAACAGCAGAGGGAGGAAAGAAGGACCCTAATGCCGACTTGGTAGACAGGGAAAGCTTCTGCGGGTGTTTTGAGATCTTCAGAATGTTGTGTTGGTGGAGGTGGGAGGGAGGTGAATGGGAGACCTCTTGGCCAGGAGTGTTGAAACTTCCTCCTGTTTCCCTTCTTCTCCTCTTCAAGCCACTGATCTTTGGCTGGGGTTCGCTAAGTCTTGAGGACTCTGTTTCTCTTCCAGACTGGAGCAGACACCAATGCCTATCATATTTGGAAGCGGGACGCTGGTGACAGTATTGCGGCAAATGGCAGATGAGGTATGGGAAGAGGTATCACATACTACTGGTCAGCTAGGAACAAAAGAGTGACAGAAAAGTAACCTTCAGAGTAAGAAAAGGACCCTAGTGCTGCCCAGTGCTCTGCCTATTCTCACCTGTTCCCAGCCAGTGGCTGAGCCAAGACAGAGGGATCTGACTTGTTCTCTATGGCTGTTAGTGTGTTTCTGAGACCCTAAGACCTAATATACCCTTTGGGAGCTGGTTCCCACTTATCCTTGAGGCTGCTGAGCAATTGTTCTAACCAATCAGATAAGCCAGCCAGACAGTAATTGCCTCCCCATTCCTGACCCTCTAGCAGGGATTGAGCTAACTGAATTTAGCAGCACTCCTGACTGCTAAGGGCTCCTGAGGCAGTTCTAAAGTAGAGAGACATCCAGGTCTCAGAGACCCAGGCTAAAGTAGAGGTGACCCTGTGGTGCTGACCCCTTGGAAATCCTGCTGACCTTGTTCTTTCCCAGTTTCCCTTCCCTGTCGATAAAATCCTGAGCAACCCACGGCTATTTGAACCCCTTATAACCAGGTAAAGTATTATCTTTCCTTCTTTCATATCCCTCACCTCAAACCTACCCACCCCCCAGGCCCCTCTCCTTGGCTTAACTGGACCTGACTAATCATCCCTCAGCCACCAGACACTGCATCTCTAAGTGTGTATATTTAAGACATCTCTCAGATGTCTCTCTCAGTCTTAAAGATCTCCAGGGTTCAGGAAAGTGGGTAATGTTTCTGCCCTTTCCTTCACCCCATTGGTTCTTTCTAACATCTGCCCTTGGTCCGTTTGTTTTAGGTTTATGGAGAAAAATCCCTTAACCAATGCAATGATCAGGACCACCACGGCACTCACCATATTCGAAGCAGGGATCAAGGTAACATCTCTGGTTCCTCCCCATACAGCTTTTCCCTACCACCCTCCACTCCTCCCTTCCTTGGCTCTATCTACTGGCCCTTCCTTCCTTCTCTGTGTGTCAGCTGGATCCAAGCCTAGCCATGCAAAGACATAGGCCTTTCTGAAATCTTGAAGGGAGTTAGACCATTCTTGTAACTGCTGGTACCACCAGCACAACTTCAAGGGGCACCATTCACCTAGAGTACAATGTGACCTTGAAGCACTCTAGTAATCAGGTATATAAGTGAATGATGCCCCTGAATTAATTCCTGGCATAACTTCCTGGAGTGTCCAGTGTGTCAGCTGTAGTGTTCATCAGAATAATAGCACTGTGTCCTGACATTTGAGTGGTGTTTTCATCCCCCCAGGATACTTTGTTACTCCATCTGACCCTTCTAAGAGCCCTATGAGTATTACCCCAATAACCAGTTGAGAAAACAGATGCACAAAGAGGTTGCAACAGCTAATTTTCAACAGCCCAGTTCTGTCCCTAACAACTTAGTGCTTTTTTGCACCATACGAGTTCAAAGAAACATATGTACTTGGGGAGTCTCCGGGCCTCCAAGGAACAATCCCTTCCTAGCCTAATTCTTTTCTCCAATTAGTCCTGGATTCCTCCTGGTCAGGCAAAAAAGTCAGATTTTACAACAGGACCTGGGAAACCACCAATCCCTGCTAGAGGGTCAGGAATGGGGAGGCAATTACTGCCTGACTGGCTTATCTGATTGGTTAGAACAATTGCTCAGCAGCCTCAAGGATAAGTGGGAACCAGCTCCCAAAGGGTATATGAGGTCTTAGGGTCTCAGAAACACACTAACAGCCATAGAGAACAAGCCAGATCCCTCTGTCTTGGCTCAGCCACTGGCTGGGAATAGGTAAGAATAGGCAGAGCACTGGCCCGCACTAGGGTCCTTTTCTTACTCTGAAGGTTACTTTTCTGTCACTCTTTTGTTCCTGCCTGACCAGGAATATGTGAGGAGTATGTGTTCTTCTCATCCCCCTCAAGCATCAAACCTGATGTGAGCCCCGTGCTATGCCATGATGGGGGCCAACAGAGGCTCTGGCTGCCCCGTTGTGAGTAAGCACTAATGTTAACAGCTGCAGAAATGTCCTGGGTGTGCTGGGAAAGAAAGTGCATGCAGAAGGCTTCTAATGGCACAGCATGGGGCCAAAACAGAGATATCTGGGCGATCAGAGAAAGCAGCCTTGCTCTGAACATGTCTGTGACCCCCTCCAGCACCAAGAAGCACAAAGGTCTGGCTTAAAGCAGAGACACCCCTTCAGCTCTGAATATAACCACATGTCACTTAGCTCAGAGAAGACAAGAGGCAGACTAGAAAAGCTAAGCCTTGGGTCCTTAAGTCAAATCAGCCAGCTCTGCCTGAGCTGAGGAAATTAGCATTTCCTGGGCAGGCAGATGTAGAAGATTGAGGTTGACTCAGGCCAGGGTTTTGTGCTTCTCTCTCTAGGTGAATGTCATCCCCTCAGTAGCCAAGGCCGCAGTCAACTTCCGGATTCACTCTGGACAGACAGTCCAAGAGGTATGTACCATATGTTCCAGACAGTTCATGCAGCATCAGGGAGATGTGGCCCTCAGGGCCCGGGTTTAACTACAGTCCTAGGGCTGGTCCAGTGTCCCATTTATTCAACCAACATTTTTCAAAGACAACCTATGCACCAATTACTTCGCTAGGATTGGAGATCCTGGGTTTGGATATACATGGGGTCTGGAGTGGAAGATAAGTATGAATAAATGATAGCAATACCTGTAGTAACAAACATTATATATATGTACTAGGTTTGCTATGTATTTTTTTTTTTTTTTTGAGTCGGAGTCTCGCTCTGTGGCCCGGGCTGGAGTGCAGTGGCATGATCTTGGCTCACTGCAACCTCTGCCTCCCGGGTTCAAGCAATTCTCCTGTCTCAGACTGCTGAGTGGCTGGGACTACAGGCACATGTGCCTGGCTAATTTTTTGTATTTTTAGTAGAGACGGGGTTTCACTGTGTTAGCCAGAGTGGTCTTGATCTGACCTTGTGATCCATTCACCTTGGCCTTCCAAAGTGTTGGGATTACAGGTGTGAGCCACCATGCCCAGCCATATTTGGCACCTTTCTAAGGTATACCCGTACATTTTAATCCTCACAACCACCCACCCTAAATCTGCATTTAACTGGTGAAAATTGAGGTACAGAGTACCACAGCAATCAAATAGTATACCCAAGATTATACATCTAGCTGTCTAGTTCCAGAGTTTGTGCTTTTAGCCACAACCCTAAACTATGATTATAAAAATTAGAGGGCCAGGCCGGGCGCGGTGGCTCAAGCCTGTAATCCCAGCACTTTGGGAGGCCGAGACGGGTGGATCACGAGGTCAGGAGATCGAGACCATCCTGGCTAACACGTGAAACCCATCTCTACTAAAAGATACAAAAAACTAGCCGGGCAAGGTGGTGGGTGCCTGTAGTCCCAGCTACACAGGAGGCTGAGGCAGGAGAATGGCGTAAACCCTGGAGGCAGAGCTTGCAGTGAGCTGAGATCCGGCCACTGCATTCCAGCCTGGGCAACAGAGCGAGACTCCGTCTCAAAAAAAAAAAAAAATTAGAGGGCTGGGCGCGGTGGCTCAAGCCTGTAATCCCAGCACTTTGGGAGGCCGAGACAGGCGGATCACAAGGTCAGGAGATCGAGACCATCCTGGCTAACACGGTGAAACCCTGTCTCTACTAAAAAATACAAAAAACTAGCCGGGCGTGGTGGTGGGCGCCTGTAGTCCCAGCTACTCGGGAGGCTAAGGCAGGAAAATGGCGTGAACCCGGGAGGCGGAGCTTGCAGTGAGCTGAGATCCAGCCACTGCACTCCAGCCTGGGCAACAAGTGAGACTCTGTCTCAAAAAAAAAAAAAAAAAAAATTAGAGGTGAACAAATTGCCATAGGACCACTGCAAAGAAAGAAATTCATGCTACTTCTTAGGGTCAAAAAAGTCTTTTCTGACTACCAAAATTTTGAACCAAGCCTTAGAGGACAAACAGAACTTGGCTAGAAGTAAGACATTCATTGTGGCTTAAGGAATAGGATAAATTGGGGACAAGTAATAGGAGATGAAAACTGATAGGAAATGAAGTTGTAGTTTAGAGATCTGGGCCTTGTATGCTATACTGAGGAGTTTGGGCCCTAATCTGTGAAATCTGTGACAGGAGAGAACTTTTAGAGGTCTTCAATCAAATACTCAGATTTGCTTTTAGAGAGGTCATGCTAGCAGCATTGAAGAGGGAGTGCTGGAGGAGAAGGAGACAGGGAGCTATTGCAGCATCTTAGGTAGTGCATGTGAAGGTCTGGACTGAGGCCATGGTCATGGGGTGGAGAAGAGGGCACCCACCAGAGGTGGGACAGAGGTGGGTTCAATAGGATGTGGTATGTATATGGGTGTGGAGTGAGAGAAAAGCAGGATGGCTCCAAGGTTTTTCACCTGGGTAGTTGACCACTTTCACTAAGATTGGAAAGTCAGAAATAAAAACAAGTTCAAGAATATCATAGTTTGGAAGTTTGAGAAACTTGTAACATATGAAATAGGCAATTATAAATACTTCAGGTCTGGAGAGAGATATGAACTAGAGATGCGGCTGGAGTGTCACTCACATCATGGGAACCTCTAGATTGAATAAAAGCCCATGGGAAGAAGGTGCAGAGAGCTAGGAGAGAAAAGAGTTGAGGCCAGAGCCTTGCAATGGTCTGCTACAAACATCAATTTAAAAATGAATGTATAATTGCAAAACACGATGAGTGCTATAATGAAGAGGAACCTGGTGCTTGTTAGAGAATATAACAAGGAACCAGACCCCATCTGGGAATCAGGCAAGACTTCCTAAGGCAGTGATTTTTTTTTTTTTCTTTTTTTTTTTTTTTTTTTTGAGACGGAGTCTTGCTCTGTCGCCCGGGCTGGAGTGCAGTGGCTGGATCTCAGCTCACTACAAGCTCCGCCTCCCGGGTTTACGCCATTCTCCTGCCTCAGCCTCCCGAGTAGCTGGGACTACAGTAGGCAGTGATGTTTAAGCTGAAAGCCAAAGGGTGAGTAGAAGTTACACAGAATGTCTGACATCCACAGTAAATGCCAGCTTATTTAAACATCAGACTGAGCAAAAGGAATTCAAAAGGTAAACCTGATGCTTCAGAAAAAAAAAAGATCCAAAAAGGCAACCCAGTGACTATCAGATGAGTTATACATTCCAGAATACACCAGGGTTAGGGGCAGTTCTGTGGCACAGATCATCAAGGGTCAGTGGCACTTGGACTTCTACGGTCCTTTCTCCTAAGTTCTTCCCCAGAGAGGACTTTACTTGCCCTCATGCAAGGAGAGAGGCACACTCCCCATTGTAGAGCGGGGAGCAGATCGACATCCTGCCCAGAGCCACACACCATTGAAGGGGGTCGGGGGAGTGCGGGGGAGTTAAGACCAATGTGACCCCTGGGTTCTCCTGCCTTTCATCAGGTGCCAACCTTTGTCCTCTCCCTGGGGTCTCATGGGGCCAGGAAATCACTGAATTCCCCTCATTGAGCTTCTTTCCACCAGTTTTTTTTCCAGCCTCATTCCAACTCCATGCCCTTTCCAAGGGCTGTTTTCCACCCAGCTGGGGCTTTCATCTCCCCGGGTCCTGGCACTCTTCCCTCCTCTCTATTCCTCTGCCACAGTGACCTTCCTTCCGGTCTCTCTGATGAAACCCCTGGAATCCCTAGGTCCATCCTGCCCACGTGCTGCAGTGAGGAATGGAAAGCCTCCATATTCAAAAAGCTTGTGGGTGCATTTGTCCTGGTTACTCCTCTCCCTCGGGCCCCATTTCCATGCATCAGGAACACTCCCTGCTGCACACCCTGTGCACAGAGCCTCGGGCTGCATCCAGCAGGAACACAGGCCGCCCCCAGAGTTCTCCTGCTCCATATTCAACTTCAGTTGTATGTAGGTCTCCAGCACCTAGCTGTGAGGAACAGAACCTTCAGAAATCCAAGAGGTTGCCATGTGGAAAGGAAAGTGTGTCCTGAATGGGCCTGAAGGAGTAGAGAGGCCAGTGGGAGATGTTTAAGAGAGTCTCCACTTGAGGGAGAGTTTTGGAATGTGCTATCTTGGACTGTAATTGTGCTCCTCATCACTAAAAGGGTGGAATAAGAGTGTTGTAGGGAAGATTCTTTCCTTTCTTCCTTCATCTATTCATTCAAGTGTCTATTGGTAGCTACTGTGGACTAGACATTCTTCTAAGTATTTGGGAGAATGGTGAACAAGACAGACAAGATTCCCATTCTAATGGTGCTTACGTTCTAGTGAAGAGACAGCAGTAAGCAAGGAGATTTTTTTTAAGTGGTAAATGCCACAAAGAAAATAATAGGATGCTGTGTCACAGAGTAATTTTGGGGCAGGGGTAGAGCAGTGAGCTCCTTTAAATGCAGTGGTCAGTGAAGCCCTCTCTGAGGAGGAGCAAAGACCTGGCAATAGCATCCAGGCAGCAAGAGCACAAAGTGGGGAACAGTACAGATGCCCTCTAATTTCGACAGGTAAGATTCTGCTGAGTGTTTATGGTGAGTTTAGTACTATATTACTAGAGTATGTTGAGACAGAGTCTCGCTCTGTCACCCAGGCTGGAGTGCAATGGTGTGATCTCGGCTCGCTGCAACCTCCGCCTCCTGGGTTCAGGTGATTCTCCTGCCTCAGTCTCCTGAGTAGTGGGATTACAGGTGCTCACCATGGAGCGAGAGAACTCTGGGGGCGGCCTGTGTTCCTGCTGGATGCAGCCCGAGGCTCTGTGCACAGGGTGTGCAGCAGGGAGTGTTCCTGATGCATGGAAATGGGGCCCGAGGGAGAGTAGTAACCAGGACAAATGCACCCACAAGCTTTCTGAACATGGAGGCTTTCCATTCCAGCACGTGGGCAGGATGGACCTAGAGATTCCAGGGGTTTCATCAGAGAGACCGGAAGGAAGGTCACTGTGGCAGGGGAATAGAGAGGAGGGAAGAGTGCCAGGACCTGGGGAGATGAAAGCCCCAGCTGGGTGGAAAACAGCCCTTGGAAAGGGCATGGAGTTGGAATGAGGCTGGAGTATATTCATTATCAAAAAAAGGAGAGGCAGGGCCAGGCACAGTGGCTCATACCTGTAATCCCAGTGCTTTGGGAGGCTGAGGCCAGAGGATTGCTTGAGGCCAAGAGTTCAAGACCAGCCCGGACAACACAGCGAGACCCTATCTCTACAAATAAAAATAAATATTAAGCAGGCACACTCCTATACTCCCAGCTACTCACAGGAGGCTGAGGCAGGAGGATCTCTTGATCTCAGAAGTTGGAAGTTACAGTGAGCTATGATCACACCACTGCATTCCAACCTGGGTGACAGAGCAAGACCCTGTCTCAAAAAAGAAGGAGAGGGGTTAGATATTACAGGACACCGTATCTGAATTCATTATAAGGAAGGCATTTATAACTGAAATGCTCAAAAATGGAATGGTGTATAGCATGCAGTGATGAGCTTTCTGCCACTGGAAATATTCCAGCAGATGGGATGACAACCTGTCATGAGTTTTCTAATGAGCAGCCTTACAGCAGGACAGAAGCTGGACTTGCTAACTCTAAAGACCTTACCTGTTTTTAAGTATCCATTGTCCTTGCCTTCAACAGCTGTACCATTCACTTACAGGAAAATATCTTTACACATAAAACAGAGAGCAACATAAGGTTGTGGGAATGCACTGTAAGAACTACAGGAGATCTGGGCCGGGTGCGGTGGCTCACGCCTGTAATCCCAGCACTTTGGGAGGCTGAGCCTGGCGGATCACAAGGTCAGGAGTTCGAGACCAGCCTGACCAACATGGTGAAACGCCATCTCTACAAAAATACAAAAATTAGCTGGGCATGGTGGTGAGCACCTGTAATCCCGCTACTCAGGAGGCTGAGGCAGGAGAATCACCTGAACCCAGGAGGCAGAGGTTGCAGCGAGCCGAGATCACGTCATTGCACTCCAGACTGGGTGACAGAGCGAGACTCTGTCTCAAAAAAAAAAAAAAAAGAACTACAGGAGATCAGAGAAATGAGAGATTCGTGTGCTCTAAAGTCACCTTTGAGATCTCTCACCATTGACAAGTCTCTCCTCCTAGTTCCATTCTTGTACCTCTGATTCTTGCCCAAGGTGGTCCCTCTATTCTAAACAAGCAAATAACAGCTAGCATTTTTTGAGTGCTTACCATATGCCAGGCACTGCCCTAAGCACATTACACATATTAACTCCAGTAACGGTCACCACCACTTATGAAGTAGGTGCTACCATCATCTACATGTTAACAGATAGGCAGGCTGAGGCACAGAGAGGTTAAGAAGCTTGTCCAAGCTCACACAACTGTGAGTGACTGTCTGAAGCACAAAGTTGGTTGTTACATCTCAATTTTTGTGCCTGCCCCTCTCCATGCTCAGATGATCTGTTTCCTCATCTCTGTCAGTTTCGTATCCTTCCTTGAAACTTGTGCTAAACATTCATACCACTAAGGAGTCCATCTCAGATGAACACCTCCTCTCAGGTTCTACTCCACACCATCTCTAACTGTATGTACTTAGGAAGCAGTAAAGCGTTATTCCCATAAAGTCAGACAGATACCCGACCTGACAAAACTGACTATATAACCCATGGCAAGTTATTTAATGAATCAACGCCTATTCTTATTTTTATTGGTTCACATCTTTTAAATTTTATGTATCCAAGATTTATTGCATGCCTTTTATGTGCTTGCTACTGGAAATGTGGAAATGAGATAGACAGTCCCTGCCCCTGAGTCAGACACAGTCCCTGCCTGGCCTAACAGCTACTGGGAAACCTGAGCTCTTGCAGCCTCTTACTGAAGGGATCCATTCTGCATGCCTTCTTTGATTTCTGGAGGACCCTCTAAGGAATTTGGAGCAGTGGGCATAGTCCCAACCCACCTCATGGAGGCTGACTTCAGAAACTTGCCAATGGGCTGAGAATATGTCAAGACCGTGCACTAATTCTTGTATTAGAATACTTGTATTATAAGTGCTGGAGTGAAAATATAGTCTGAGAAGTGAGAATACACCTTGGTGACCCCTTTGCCCATCCAATAGCGGGATACTTGTTTTGATTCAAATGGTGGTTTCTAAGCCAGAAGTGGGAACCTTCACTTCCTCTCCAGACTCAACTCCTAACATTCTTCTGGCATAAAAGAGGTACTCTTGGGACAGGGCACGGTGGCTCACACCTGTAATCCTAGCACTTTGGGAGACCAAGGCAGGTGGATCACCTGAGGTCAGGAGTTTCAAGACCAGCCTGGCCAACATGGCAAAACCCCGTCTCTACTAAAAGTACAAAAAGTAGCTGCACATAGTGGTGCATGCCTATAGTCCCAGCTACTTGGGAGGCTGAGACAGAAGAATTGCTTGAATCCAGGAGGTAGAGATTGCAGTGAGCTGAGATGGTGCCACTGCACTCCAGCCTGGGCGACACAGTGAGACTCTGTCTCAAAAAAAAAAAGAGGTACTCTTGGCCAGGCATGATGGCTCACACCTGTAATCCCAACAGTTTGGGAGGCCAAGGTGGGCAGATCACTTGAGGTCAGGAGTTCAAGACTAGCCTGACCAACATGGTGAAACCCCCGTGTCAACTAAAAATACAAAAATTAGCCAGACGTGGTGATACATGCCTATAATCCCAGCTACTCAGGAGGCTGAGGCAGGAGAATCACTTGAACCTGGGAGGTGGAGGTTGCAGTGAGCCAAGATTGTGCCACTGCACTCTGGCCTGGGTGACAGAGTGAGATTCTGTCTCAAAAAAAAAAAAAAAAAAGAGGTACTCTTAAGATAATGTCCCACGTTCAGGTGATCTGCAGCTATGGGACAACCCCCCCCTTTCTAGAGCAGAGGCAGTTTTAAAGCAACTACTGAACAAATGGATTGGGACTAGTGCTGGAGCTTTGGAGAGCGAAGGTCCCTCTAAGTCAGTCTCCTGGTCCATTCCCACATGGCTCTATGTGACCTAATCCTCAGGGTCTGGTCTACTTCCTGACTGGGGACAGGAATTTTTCTGGATTTACTCTTCGTTTCAGACTGAATTTTCTAGGAGTTTCCTCAGGTTCTTTCCCGAGGAAAGGAGGCAAAGAGAAAACTTGAATACCCGTATCACAACTTCTGACTTTTTGTCTGTGTTGAGCTCATCTTCCTGGCTCCAGTGCAGCTGGTTACAAACAGGAAGCAGGAATGCCCAGAGAGGGGAAAGAAAAGTGTGTGACCTTTTTATCACCTGTCTGAGGTTCTCCGAGGCTGAAGCCAGGTCATCACATCTATTCCCCAGCCTGGGGATGATTGACATTCTGCTGTCTCTTCAACACTTTCAACCAGCCTGTGGCTCACCACCCAAGGGGAAAGATACATAACTTCCTGATTTTCCAATTCCCATCCAATTTTTCATCCAAGGGATGTCTCACCAATGCCCTTTGAAGGAGATTCCATGCTCCTGGCTGAAATGGTGTTTTTTGTAAGGATAGCTATAGGCTTTCAAGAGAGCCCAGGCATTGCTCTATAGTGACCCAGTAGTCCTAATTTTCCAGCCAGGCCACCCCCCTGCCACTTCGTTAGTTTGGTTGCTCATGTAAATTTGTTCCTATTCAAGATCTGATTCATGACTGTAAAACAAGTCTCCCAAAACATTTAACCTAAATCTATCATGCTATAGATTGCTTTCCAGGAAGACCCAACTCTTACATCACCTTTAGCCAGTCAGCTGAAATTGAAGTCCCAATGTTTAAAAAAATGAGTCCTGTCTGTAAACCCCCGGGCTCTGCCTTGCTGGAAAGAAATCAGAATATTTAAGCTCATATTGTACATGTATAGAAATCAATAAGAAATCAAACCCCCTTTGTTTCTACCCTGGAGGTCCTAGAACTCACGAAGAACATTGTGGCTGATAACAGAGTCCAGTTCCATGTGATGACTGCCTTTGATCCCCTCCCCATCAGCCCTTATGATGACAAGGCCTTGGGCTACCAGCTGCTCCGCCAGACCATACAGTCCGTCTTCCCGGAAGTCAATATTACTATCCCAGGTAATGACTTCATCAGCTGTGGCTGGAGGGAGGAGGGGGCTGGAACTGTTTCCTATCCAATGTCTACTTCCCCACCCCACCCCAGATGTTCAGCCTGTAAACAGCTGGCTGCTTCCCCTCCTGATGAGACTAGAACTGTATTTTCCCTTCAGAGTGGAAGTGAAAACGCAAACAGGAAAGGAGCAGAAACAATAAATTAGGTCAGTCAAGCCTGGGTCCTTGCTTAACCTAGGCCAGCCACTCTGGCATAGCGGGGAGAATTGGCTTAGACTACTCCCTCCTCTCTAAGAGTCACTGAAGGGGCCAAGATTTTCCCAGAGTCTGGTTCTGATCCATTCTAGGATAACAGCTCAGCAGCAAAGCTCAGAATCTTTAGCTCAGAAAAGACTCCCAGCCCATACCGTTTGCCTTAACCTAATTTACGCTTCCCAGCCCAGATCAATCCCAGCAGCACTCCTCTGTACCTGTACCCCTTCTGCAGCCTTCTAGCACACCATCCAAATCTATGCTTTGCAGACAGTGGTTCTCCAATCTAAGAGTGGAAGAGGTCTCCCCAGGGAACTATTAAAATGCAGATTACCTGGACTCACTGCAAAGATTTGGGTTAACCAAATCTGGAAGGGACCCTGGAATTTGCCTTTTTCACACATATCCACAGGAGATTCTGACAGGTGGTGATGTCTAACCTAGTCATCACTAAGGTGATGACTAACCATAGTTTGAGAATCTCTGGTCAATGGTTATTGCTCTAATATTAAGACATTGCTTGGCCGGGCGTGGTGGCTCACATGTGTAATCCCAGCACTTTGGGAGGCTGAGGCGGGTGGATCACAAGGTCAGGAGTTCGAGAACAGCCTGACCAATATGGTGAAACCTCGTCTCTACTAAAAATACAAAAATTAGCTGGGCCTGGTGGTGGGCACCTGTAGTCCCAGCTACTTGGGAGGATAAGGCAGGAGAATCACTTGAACCCAGGAGGCAGAGATTCCAGTGAGCCGAGACAGCACCACTGCACTCCAGCCTGGGGGACAGAGCAAGACTCTGTCAAAAAAAAAAGGAAAAAGACATTGCTCAATAATAATGATATTGCTTAATTATTAATGCTCTAATATTAAGACCCGTGTCTAGTTTTCTTTTCCCTTGGTCTAATCTGAGATTCCTCCAAACATCCAGGAACCCGGCCTTCACAGTCCCAGATTCTCCTCCCTTGGCCCTTAAAGGCTACCTACTCTATTCTCTTTCTTCTGGAGCACTTGTCCACCAATGGGGCCAGGCTTTTACAGAAAAAAGACAGGCAGAAATCAACCACAAAGCAAGGAACTGTGAAGGGCCTGGATGTCCATTTGAAACCATGAGTGGAAGATGAAAGAAAACACAAATTACTGTCTCAAATCACCCCACACACTTGAGTTCTTTTCCCAAAGAACACACCTAGGGGCACAAGTCCCAGCCCCTGCCAGGTGACCTGCTACCACCTTCAGGAGAGTGGGAAACTGGAAAGAGTATCCTGGCACTTTCCAGATCTAAGGTTTGACCCTAGGAAGACAGAGTCATCCTTCAGAGAGTGAGAATAACAGGAAATTTTGTTCCAATTCAAGAGGGTTATATTTTATAGTAGTAAAGTTCTCCCAGAGGGTATTTATTTTTGACCTAGAGTGATACAGAATAAAGGTCAGGTGATAAAGAAGTGCTATCTAGTTTCTCGTTTCTTAAATAGCAAATGGCCATGGCCTTGGGTATGAAATGAAGATATTGGCCTCCCTGGTCATCACAGGGAGAGGACACTTCCAAGGGCATTGGTGAGACATCCCTTGAATGGTCCATCCAAGGGATGTCTCACCAATGCCCTTGGAAGGAGATTCCATGTTCCTGGCTGAAATGGTGCGTTTTGTAAGGATAGCTATAGGCTTTCAAGAGAGCCCAGGCATTGCTCTGTAACGACCCAGTAATCCTAATTTTCCAGCCAGGCCACATGCCAGCCACTTTGTTGGTTTGGTTGCTCATGTAAAGCCCCTTTCCTGTTTATCTTCCCTCTCTAGGTACTTGTCTTGGCAACACAGACAGCCGATTCTTTACAGACCTCACCACTGGCATCTACAGGTTCAATCCCTACTATCTACAGCCTGAAGACTTAAAACGGTGAGTGGAACAGGTTTGAGCAGCAGGTGGGAGAAAAGAAACACACTTGACGTGTCTCTTTCCCACCCTGTGCTCCTGACAGTCCACAGAATCAGGGCGGGGGGAAGCCGGGATTTGGCAAAATGAAATGGAGACATTGTAGAACCTAACCCATCTACCGTCCTTATTGCCAGAGTCTCATCATCACCCCCTAGAATTGATGGAAATTGGCCCCTCTTTTATAAAGATGGAGATAATTGGGTGATTGGGGAGAAGCTGGTGGAATCCGTACCCTTGGGTGCTAATCCCAGCTCTTCCTGTCTTTGGGAGAGGGCTTATCCTCTGGACCCCGTTTCCTCCACTTACAAAATGGGGAGACTCCTCAGCATTTTGTGAAATGCAGACCACACATGAGGTCAAAGGTGGGTGCATGTTTTGATTTCTCAGAAGAAAGCACTATGGAAATCCACGATGTGAGCACCAATTTTAACTGCTCTGTGTGAATTACTATTTTTGTGGGTTCTTCAGCACATTTTTAATCCTGGGGTATGGGAGGACGATTTCCATTTACCTCTCTGCTACTTATCATGTCCAGACCTGGTCTCCCCATCTTAAGTCCTCTGTAGACAGAGTGAAAATATTTGAATAGGAGTTTAAGAACAGCTTTCTTTTTTTGTTTTTTAAATGGGAGATGGATAGGTACTCTGTTTCCTTTTATCTTTGAGATTACATATGTAGTTTGGTGGTTGTTTGTTTTGTTTTGCTCTGTTTTGTTTCACTGTGGGGAGGCAGGTTGGTGGGTGTCAGGTCTGATAGTAAAGTTCCTAGGTGCCACAGAAAACTGGGTAGGTACCCTGGGCAGTTGCCTTCTCTACCCTCTAGTGGGAGAGTAGGGGACTGGCTTAGAGATAGTCTAGCTAGGTACTCTGTCCTAAGAGAAAGAGAATTGGAAAGATAGTTCTCAGTCAAGTGTGGTGGCTCACACCTATAATCCCAATACTTTGGGAGGCTGAGGCAGGAGGATCACTTGAGCCGCGAAGTTTGAGACCGGCCTGGGCAACCTAACAAGACTCCATCTCTTCAAAATAATTTAAAAAATAAAAAAATTAGCCACACGCCTGTGGTCCCAGCTACTCAGGAGCTGAGGTGGGAGGATCACTGGAACCCAGGAGGTTGAGGCTGCAGTGAGCTGTGATTGTACCCCTGCACTCTAGCCTGGGCTACAGAATGAGAACCTGTCTCAAAAAAAAAAAAAGACAATTCTCCTGGAGGACAAATTATTGAGTGGATTTCACAGCAGGAGATTATTTTGGACTCCCCAAGAGTTTATTCCACACTGTTCTTTGTCATGAGCATGGATGGATCCCTGAGAAACAACCAATGTGTCATATGAAATCTCAGATGCCCCCTCCCTTGCCCCTCCCTTTCCTAGCCCTGGAGGGCCAGTAGTTTCCGGGTTGGTGAGGGGAGTAAGGAAAGTGCTCTATAATAACACTTGTGCTGTGGCACTTGGCCCTCCCCTCCTTCCCTAAATGCATCTTACTTTCCTCAGCTTCCATGGAATCAATGAGAAAATCTCAGTCCAAGGCTATGAGAACCAAGTGAAATTCATCTTTGAGTTGATTCAGAATGCTGACACAGACCAGGAGCCAGTTTCTCACCTGCACAAACTGTGAGGTCAAGGGGCCTGCTGGGTTAGGCATGCCCGACCCCGGGCCAGGACTAACCCAAGGGGGAAAGCCAGTGTTGATGAAACTTTTGATTAAAACCACATTGTAAAACATTGCCCATCTGTCTTGCTCACTCTTAAACTCACCCAAGAACAAGGCCAGGGGTAAGGTAAAGTCAGCAGAAATCTGGCTTCTCCCTTCCTCCTGATATCTGCATCCCTTGATCCACTGGCATTTGCTGCCTTCTTGTCCCTTATCTGTCTTATGCTGGTTATTTCACTGCTTCACCCTCCAGGCTTGGCTTAGCAAATGTAGATTTGAGAAATCTCAACCAGGTGTTATCTGATAGGAGTCTTTAATTTGGGGCACTGTTGCTGGGATGCTTTCTCCAGAGCTTATATATTTCTTCTTGCTAGAACTTTCTTTCCCCTTTTATTCCCCTCTCTTCTTGGACTTGTGAGCTGTATCTTCATCTCTCTTCTCTCTCCTGCATCTCTCCCCTTACTCTCCAATTTATTCTACTTCTGGACCTGGACTTACCCAAACTGTGAAACTACCATAATTGTCACCACAATCAGTCAAATAAAGTGATCTGTCCATCACCAGCTGGATACTGAGGGGTGAAACTGAGGCGGGGGCTTTGGAGAAACCCCAAACCTCCTGGTTCTGGAGGCCAGAGACTGGAAAAGAAAGCCTCTGTCCTTGGGCTCCTCCCAAGGGCTCCCTGGGCTTTGTTCCCTCCCTGCCCTGTTCCTGCCACCTGCTGCTACTGTCTCACCCCAGGAGGCACTAATCTGTGGAAACATTTCCCTGGCACATCTGATGGGCTAAGCTCCCAAGGGAAGGGCACTCGGAGCTAAGGACCAGCAGGGCCGTGGCCCTGGCATCATGTCCTGGTTCAGGCAGATCAAGGGAAAGTGGAGGGCATTAGGGTGGAGGAGGAGGGGGAGGCTGGCTTGAGGGGCTCTGCGCTGTCTGGTGGGGTACGAGGAGGCACAAACTAGCCTCCACTGGGGACAGCAGAATTCCTGTCTTTTTTCTCTGGGCTCCAACCCTGAGCATGTTTGAATCTGCTCAGTAGCTGCCAGGTGGGGGGCATTGGAAGGCAGCATTTCTTGGCTCAAAGCTGGAAGCTGTGCTTTCTGGATCACAAGAGAGTCTGTGATCCTCTTGAGAGGAGCTGGGACTCAAGGGACACCCTCTTCTTTTCCTCACCAGGCAAGGACCTTCCATGTCCTCCTGGGCTTTGACAGCAGTGGGCTCCTTCTCCCTCTCCTCATAACCCCCTTCCCCCTCGAGCCCCCAGTTTCTCACCTCCCTCCCTGGATGTGTACTGTTCCTTGGAGCTCGGGCTTCATGAAAAGTGTTGGAACCACAGTATGGGGATTATTCCAGCTTTTTTGCTACTCCCCCTAAGATTCACATTCCTTCCTTTGCCCTCCCTTTTTTGGCCAATTCAGTACTTATTCAGCCTTTGTTAGAGGGCGAGCTGAAGAACAAAAATAATCCTTCACATTTGTACAGAGCTGTACAGACTGCTTTCATACATCTTATCTCAGCAGAGCCCCACAAGAACCCTGCGAAGAAGGCATTGTTACTCCTTACAGGGGAGGAATTGGTTCTCAGAGAGGCTACGCATCTAGCTGCAGGCAGTTGGCTCAAGTCTATGTCACCTGGCTCCAAACTCACTGTTATTCTGCAATCCTACGTAACCAATAGAATCTACTTCCCAAAAATTATCTTATTTACTCATCGCAACAACTCTAAGGTGTTACTGTTCATTTTACAGATGAGACCACTGAGACTCTTAGGTTAAATAACTTGTCCAAGGTCATGCAGGTGCCAGGAGCTGAGTCTATCTGAATCCAAAGCCTGTGCTAAAAGTACCGAAACTGAGACTCAGAGAAGTCATTTGACAGTGTTCTTATGGGGCAGCCCCAGAATTGAAATGCAGGTCAAAAATCCCAAGTCCAGTACTTCTTCAGTTGCACCGTGCTGCCTGCCTCAAGAACCTGTGGTATGTGGCTCATTCATTCTGACCCAGAGAGATGTCAAGGACAAAGGCTATTCTACTGTTGGACTTGGTTCTTAGCTCTAGCTCTCTGTATTCCTCTGGCTGAACTCTCCCTATTCACACCTCTCCCACTGTCTGCCAGCATTTCTTACCAGCCCCACCCCCAGCTTCTGGGTTCAGCTCTTTTCCCTTTTCTCTGAGTTTGGGAACAACCAGGTCTCTAATGATCATACAGCAACTGGGAGAAGAGTGAACAGCAGACCCTCCCCTCCTCTAGTCTCACTACCCTCTTCCAGCTGTAGAAAAAAAAAGTCCCAGAGCGGGTAGGAAGCCCATGAGAGGGAACTGCTACAAATCCTGGCTCTGAGAACGCCTGCATTACAGCCCGGTGGTCCCTGAAGGCTTCTCAAGAGAGCAGTTCAAAGTCCCCAGCCTGGCTGGAACAACAGCAGCCTCGAGACTTGTTGGGGCTTGGCGCAGTAGCTCTCGCCTGTAATCCCAGCACTTTAGGAGGTGGAGGCAGGAGGATCGCTTGAGGGCAGGAGTTCAAGACTAGCCTGAGTGATAGGGTGAGACCACCAGCTCAAAAAACAAACAAAAAGACTCTGGATGGAATAAGGCAACAAATCGGTGACTTTCCACCACCCCATCCCCATCCATCTACCACTTTCCAAATCCCGCAATGAAAGAGCTCCAACAGATAATCATAGGTACATCCTACACCCTTATCAAGACTTAGCTCAAGCTTTTTACACCTCACTGCCTGAGGTGAGAAGGAAGACAAAATATTCATACGCAAAGAGAATGGGAAAAGAAAGTTTGGCTGGAATCCTTTGATTGTGAATCTGGGTTGCTAAAAACATGGCCATCCTAAACCCGGTATTCCTTTTATCCAAGGAAGATAATAGGAGACAAAGTTCCTACTTGAGAGCTGAACATTTCATTAAATTTTTTTTTTTTGAAAATTCAAATCTAATCAAAGAGGGTTGGTTTTTGTTGTTGTTGTTGTTTCTTGAGAGGGGGTCTTGCTCTGTCACCCAGGATGGAGTGCAGTAGCAAGATCATGACACTGCAGCCTCAACTTCCCAGGCTTAAGAGATCCTCCCACTTCAGCCTCCTGAAAAGCTAGGACCACTGGTGCATGTCACCACACCTGGCTTTTATTTTTTCTATTTTTTTTGTAGCGATAGGGTCTCACTGTGTTGCTGAGACTGGTCTCAAACTCCTGGGCTCAAGCGATCATCCTACTTCAGGCCTCCCAAAGTGCTGGGATTACAGGTTTAGCCACTGTACCTGGCCTAATTAAATATTTTATAAAAACAAACCTACTTGCAATTCTAATATTCAGTGTCCATCTAATGTCAATAAAAAGAATCAGTATCATGTTTAACATGTTGTATCTAGAGGTACAAATATAAAAATTTAAGAATAATATAAATTATTTATTACTACAAAATGTTTCTTAGCACCAACGTGCAATGTTGCAAACACTACACTAATTCATGGGTACCTCCAGAACCAGAAATTGGAACATAAAACAGAGCAAGAAAATGGACACTCAGCACTACTGGTAGATAATATGTCACGCGAGAATTCACTACACAGCCAAGCGCGGTGGCTTATGCCTGTAGTCCCAGCACTTTGGGAGGCCAAGGCAGGTGGATCTGACCTGAGGTCAGAGTTTGAGACCAGCCTCACCAACATAGCAAGACCCTGTCTCTACTAAAAATACAAAAATTAGCTGGGCGTGGTAGCAGGCACCTTTAATTCCAGCTACTTGGGAGGCTGAGGCAGGAGAATCGCTTGAACCCAGGAGGCAGAGGTTGCGGTGAGCCGAGATGACCACTGTACTCCAGACTGGGCAACAGAGCAAGACTCTGTCTCAGAAAAAAAAGAAAAAAAAATCCACTACAGGCAGGGTGCAGTGGCTCACGCTTGTAATCCCAGTACTTTGGGAGGTTGAGTCGGATGAATCACTTGAAGTCAGGAGTTTGAGACCAGCCTGACCAACATGGTGAAACCCCATCTCTAATAAAAATACAAAAATTAGCTGGGTGTGGTGGCATGCGCCTGTAATCCCAGCTACTCAGGAGGCTGAGGCACGAGAATTGCTTGAATCGGGGAGGCAGAGGTTCAAGCAGTGTGCAGTGTGCA